GTTCGTAGAAGCGGGATGAACGCCGTTGACCAGTATTGGCGGGGTCTATGTTACCAGAAGAGAGGCGTACGTTTGACATGGTCAAAAGGAAGTGAGTTTGTAAATACTGTTAAGTGCCGTGTCGACCAGAGGGACGGAGACGGAGACGGAGACGGAGTCGAAGTCGGAGACGGAATCAAGTCGTAGAGCACTTGGGGCGGAACACCACAGAAGGATGATTGGGTGACCGGGGCTTCCAGTTGACCAAGACAAGACAAGAGGAGAAGAGCGGAGTCGAGACGACGCTGGGAGATAGAGACCAGCAACGTTAATTTACAAACTGAAGTACGTGATAATACATCAAAGTATTTATAGTACGAGAAGTAACGGAAACGGAATAAGGTATAACAAAGTAAGTAACAAGATTAGAACAAAGTCAAGTAAAGTAGAAGAGGAGTTGCATACGAGGAACAAGGCATAGATGATTGCATAGATCATAAGTCGGAGTAATTGGAAACGCTCAGTAAATCTTCATTGCGTAAAAACCAAATACCGGAGACGGATATCGGAGACGGATGCCGGAGTCGGCACGGATATAACAGCTCCCGGAGTCGCCGCAAGACCTCCTGAACAATCTGCCGGTGTTTCCGGAGGTCGGAATGGGCGATCAAGATGTCGTCAAGGTAGATCATGACGTCTCCGGAGAGGATGAGGTCCTGAAAAATGTCATTCATCATCGTTTGGAACGTCGCGGGAGAGTTTGTCAGGCCAAAATACATCACCAAGGGCTCGAACAGGCCTCGGTTAGTCCGGAAAGCCGCTTTCCACTCGTCACCTTCCTTGATCCGGACGTTGTTGAAGCCCCAACGGACGTCGAGTTTGGTGAAGTAACGAGCGCCCTTGAGCCGGTTGATGAGGTCGTTGATCAGCGGAAGGGGGTACCGGTTTTTGACAGTCATCGCGTTGAGAGCACGGTAGTCCTGGACGAAGCGGAGTCCTCCGTCCTTCTTCTTGACGAAGAAGACCGGAGACGCCATCGGAGACTTGGAGGGGCGAATCCGGCCCGTCGAAAGCCCTTCCTCGATGAACGCGTCGAGCTCGCGTTGCTCGAGGGGCGAGATGGGGTACACCTTGCAGTTGGTGGGCTTAGCGTCGGGGACGAGTTCAATGGCGTGGTCCCAGGCTCTCCGCTCCGGTAGCGTGTCGAAGGACTCCTTGTTGAAGACGTCCTGGAACTCCTTAGCCCAGTCCGGGATCTCGGAGGGCGGAGGGGCGGAGTTCCTGGCGAAGGCTTCGGCCAGGCGTTGCGAGACAGTACTGCCAGCGCGTATCTCCTCCAAGGGGCGGAACGAGGTGTAGAAGATGCGGTCACCATCTTCAAGCTGACCATCGTCATCGTCGTCGTCGGAGTCCGGCGTCAGATCAGGCAGGCCGGAGTCGTCACCGGAGACGGAGTCGTCTCCGTCATCAGACCCAGAAAGGTCCATGGCGCAGACCGAGGGGAACGGGCCGGAGCGGAGACGCTTCTGAAGCGACCGGAGTCGCCGCAACTCGGTCCGTTCGACCCGCTCTTCCTCACGGCAGGTCGAGCAATTGCGGGGGCACCGTGTCATCTTGACCTCCTTGGTTTCCCAATTGATCTCTGGGTTATGTTTCCGCAACCAGGAATACCCCAGGATGAGGTCTTGCTTGCCAAGATGGGTGACGGCCAGCTGAACTCGTTCGGCATGGCCCTTGTAGCGCAGGACCAAGTCCGCGATCTGTTTGATGGAGCCAGCGTCATTGGGGGTGCCATCGACATTGAAAACCGGAATCGGCTGATCGAGGGTGCGGACCGGAATGCCATTCCGAGCAACATAGTTCGTGTCAATGAAGTCGGAGGTGGCACCACAGTCGACAAGCCCAGAGAGTGAGAGCCTTCAGCGCTGGTGGTGGACTCGAGCTCTAACGGGAGGTGGAGGGAGTTCGCCCCAGGGGCAGCGGCAACGGTGTACTGCTTGGGCAGTTTCTTTTCCCAGGCAGTGAGGCGGCGGAGGACGATGACCGGAGTCGCGGGCGGAGTCGGAGACGGAGTCGAGACGGGGGGCAGGAGAGGGTGTGTCTTTCGTTTCGGGCTCATTGTAGGGCAAGGAACTGCATTCATCATACAAAGAGGCAAAACGATTTATAGACGCGAACGAGGGCACACCAGTCACTCGTCGCGGGGACAAAATCCTCTCCGGCCATCGACTCCGCTGCCGTCTCCGGCAGGGCAGCTGTGTCCGTGTAGCGGGCGATCAACTCCGCTAACATCTCGTCACCGAGTTGTTGGATCACCTCGCCGAGGATGTCCATTGAGCGGACATCGGCGGGGGAGGGGGCAATCCCGGGCGAGATGGTTTGGGTCGCCGCACCTGAAGCAGGCGCGACGAGGGGCACCCCGAGCCCTGGTGCGATCCAACTCCATAGGGACGGGAGCTGGAGGCGCCGGAGCGGGGGCGCGGGCCGCGGGTGGCACGACCGGAGCCACCGGGCGGAAAGGGGCCGGAGCCGGGATGCGGTTGACCGGAAACGGAGTCCGAATCAAACCGCCAGGCGTCTTGGGGGCGGCTGACTTGATCAGCTTGGCCCGGACCAGGGCCTCGTATTGACGGAAGGCCCGGGTGCGCCAGCTAAGGTAATCCCGGAGGTCCGGGGGTCGTTCGAGGACGTGATTCCGTTATTGATCAGGGGGTCAAGTCCGTGGCGGAACTTGGTCACCTTGACACCAGCGCGTCTTGAATCCGGCGAGGTCCATCAGGTCCTCGAAGTCGTCGGTGTACTGGTAGACATCCTTTGTACCCATGTGATAGGCGGAAGTCTCCAGCTTGGAGAGAGCGTGATCTTGCTCATTCTCCTCGACGAACCGGAGTCGAAACTCGGAAACGAACGAGCCCCAGGACGGAAACGGAAACGGGGCTTTGCTTCCGTGGCGCTCCGCCCATTGCTGAGCGGGTCCTTCTGCCATAAACGACATGGCATAGCGGACAGCCTTTTCCTCGCTCGCCTCTCCGTTGACCACGAAGGCCTCAGGGGCAAGGCGGGCGAGGTGCGGACCGCGTAGAGAGGAACGCGCGGCCGCATTTCCGGTCGCCGTTGAAGGTGAACGGGGGTTTGGTCGCAAGACCAATTTTGAGGCGAGGTTGATGTCGCCAAAAAGGGCTTCGGAGTCGCCCTGGACCGGAGTCGGAGTCGGAATCGACGTCTCCGGCGATGGTGTTTGGGGTCCGCCAGCATTATTAGCGGCGGCAGCGGCAGCGGAAGCCTGGTTGGTGAGTAAAGCAAGGGCCTCAGTTAGGCTATCGATTTTCGCCTCGAGTGAGTCCAGCCGGACGTCTGCGGTAGGAGTGACTCCGGACGGCATGACGGGTGCGGGGACCACAGGAGTAGAGGAGGAGGGGACAAGTGGCAGGGGCGGTGACGAGGGCGGAACGGACTCGTACTCGAGCCTGAGTCAGCGCCGAACCTGGCAATCTTGTCCGGTTGATCCCGTAGAGAGTTTCTTCTGCTGTAAGGGCAACCCCGGAGGCCTGAGATCAAGGTCCTAGCAGGGGAGGATCCAAAGCGTGAACATTGGTAAGCGAATACAAATGAAGCTGACCTAGCAGGGGAGGATCCAAAGAGAAGAAACTCTAAGGGTCCGCCTGCTAGGTAGCTGACTATATACTGCTTGTCCGTAGCTGCCGCTGTCGGGCACAGAAGGCTTGGGCGGCGTCGCAGGCGAGGTCCCAGGGCGACCGTCGGGAGGGCGTTGACGGATCGGTGATTGTGCGGGCGAGATGGAGGGCCGGACCGGAGACGGAACCGGAGTCGGACCGGAATCGGAGGCGTCTCCGAGGGGCCGAAAGGGGAGGTTCCCCTGACAGCCTTCTCTGGCATACTAACCATTCATTAGTTTGGACAAGGCAATGACCAATGATCCTTCCACGGTTCGCCGAAGCCAACTCATCGCTCGATTTTCTTGCGTAGTGATCGAGTCGGAAACGGACCGAAGTTTGGTGCAAGACTGGACGCGGAGAAAGAGTGAAGGACTACTTGCAGAGACGCTGAGGGACTTGAAAGTGGGACATGTCCCATTTCTCGTCATGATGGTTGCGACCAGAGGCGGTGACTTCTTCTGTGACAAGTACGTGAGAATTATTTTCGAGGTCATTCTTTAAACTCATGCCTTCCTCAGCATATCCCCGCAAATCGAGGCACAAAATCCCCCCTCCGAATTCTATGTTGAGCTGCTTACTGCACTCTATAACGGCTCTCCAGCTTCGGAGCTCAAAACCTTGCAAAAGTTTATTCGGCAACGCGTCGCGGAGCTTGTCGCTCAGCTCAAACCTGGGCCATTTCCACCCAAGGACGAGGAGCGAAGATTAAGCGACTGGAGCCGCCCATCATACCAACCACGACAAATTGATGTGTCCAAGCCAAAGCGAATAGTTCAGCTTTGCTGCGATATTCAGGCGCTCGATCTTCAGCTCATATGGCTGCATCTATGCAAAAGATGTGGGTAGCATCCTAGGGGGGTAATGCAAAAGATGAGGGCAACTGCTTGGAAATTAAATTAAATAACACTGTTTTCTTGTTTGTGGCTGCTATATCAAGGTATCAGTGATGGGATCAATGGCAGCTAGGTATGTTGATCAATGTGGAATGATTTTTGATTGCCATCAGAGCTTTTGATGACTGCATCTTGCTACATCAACCTTACTTAATCGATTATTAATTTTTTGGTCCCTGGGCTTATAAGTCCCAAATATAATATTACGAATATTCGGCCCAAAGAAAAGGTGATTTATCTTCCTATATGTATTTTTATATTAGTCATATCTCTTGATTCCAGTGAGAAATTCATGAAATACATCTGTCACAACATCTTTTGCATTACCCCCTTGGGATGGTACCCACATCTTTTGCATAGATGCAGCTATATGTACTGCGATCTTTGCTTCCCTTATTTATCGAAGATACGCGAAGCCTCCAAGTTGGAAAAGAAACCATTCCCTCCGTGGATGTTCTACGTCGAGATCACGCCAATCGTTATTCAATACCTTGTCGTGAACGCTCATGTGTTCTTGGACTTGAAGCAAGGCCTCAAAATGTTTTTCCAGGATGTCGTTCGCGCACTGTTATCTGGAAATAATCCTTATCTCGATAAGACACAAGAGGATATTCTTGTCGACTCTGTAGAGTTTCTGGGTGGATTGCACTACTTGAGAAGGTCACAATTTCCTTGCCCTCAGCCGTACAACTTCTCAATTCGTGTTTATAACAGGCTGACCCCTGATGTTTTCCATGGCCGCTCCAGTTGGAGCATTCAAGCGCTCACTCGATATACCATCACGCGCAAATACTCCCGAGCGAATCTCCCGCCATTTGAACGCTGGGCCTACGATGAGACGATGCGTGTCTTTGTCAATGCTGCAATTGACACCTTTGTGCCACTCTACTCAATTAACCCATCCTCTAATCACGCAGAAAAAGAGATGCTCGATCTGATCAAGCTTTGCTTCGACATGGGCGTGCAGTCTCAAAACAAGCGAGCTTTGGACCATATGCTCACACCCCCTCCAGATCGAAGCATCGAGATTCACACATTGAATTGTCTTGTGCCATTTATAAACGTATTGGCACAGTTTCTCAAGACCGTGCAGCTCGGCCTCACAAACCAACCTTTCAACAAGTTTGTGGCTACCGTTCTTCAACGCTATGTCGACCAGGTTGTGGGTCAGCAACCTTCTGGTGTTTGCCCCACTCCAGAGCAGATAAAAGGGCTAGGCTGTGCCTGTGCGACATGCGTTCAATTTCAAGCTTTTCTAAGTGACGCGCAATCCGAATCAAGAAGCGTCTCAAGCCTGGACATGTCCCATGTCGAGGAGCATTTTGCAACGGCAACAAAGGCTTGGGATGTGAGATGGGAGGTACAATACCGTGGACGTCGAAGCTACGTCAACCGCTCCCTGTTGGTAAGTTCCATCCAGTCATTGGCCATTTATGTTCCGTTTCAAACTGTCTCTAGGTGACCAAGCCGCAAGTCATGCTGAGCATTTTGCGGTGGAGATCGAGTGCACAAACGGCAAAAACGATACTAGTCAGTCTAGGCGATCCCCAACGTCAGGCCGAAATCCTCGGGGACGAGTACGATTCGATTTGTGCTCGCATCGGCTTGGAGTATTTGCGACCGGAGGTTACTTTGAACCCCATTCAGTGAGGCGCGGACAAGGCGGGCATGGACTCGACGAAGAAGGGATGTCTGGACTCTTGAACGGCAACCTTGTCAATGCACTTGACCTCCAAGTATATGTACTTTTGTAATAAATTCAGGTCTTTTGGGGAGCTGAACTATTTACCAGCTGAAGAAATCGTCGTTGCCTGCAAGACTCTTGTCTTTCTTTGAAAATTGTGCCCGTGACCATAGGCATAGTAGGCATCACGACGTGACGTCACGCGTTTTCTCTTGTTTTCAACTTATTTTCCGCACTCTGGTCCGACGTCCGACATTCAGACCCAGCAATGGCTTCCTCGGAGGAGTACAAAAGCGATTTGAGCGACGAATACGACGACGACGACTCATTTGAAGAGCAAACGGACTCTGATGAGCCACCCGACCGCGAAGCATATTGGGCCACAACGCGATTTGGTCCGCGAGGCCCTCCTCCACACTTCGGGCCTGGCCACTCGCCCAAAATCCGAGGCGACTCTAATCTGCGGAATCCACACTGCTTCCCCTCGTACAACCATTGCCCGGATTATCGCACATATTGGCCCCAAGACGAAGTGGTTCCGCCTCCTCACCACCACTGGTGCTTTTTAGGCCAGATCCTCAACTTCAAAGACAAGGTTCTCGTTGTCAGCGATACGGCGGGGAATAATGTCTTTGTTTGTCTCTATTTCTCGAACACGACTGAACTATTCGATTGGTCCACACTGAAATCTGGTAGTACCATAGCGGTTTTATACGCAGAGCAACGGTACTATGATCCTGATGAGGATTCGGATGACGAGCAGCTTCAGAAGCGTATCTTGCTTCTGCATCATCCACAGTTCGTGAAGGTATGCATGGCAAACTGCTCTTGTGGAATTACTAGCTAATTTGGCACGACAGATCTACCCCTGTAGCCTGGAAACATTACTCCGTATCAACGACGACATCGAAGCAGAAACTCCAGAAGACCGTCTGCAAAAGTGCCAGGGTTGTGGAAAAGACGACGGGCCAAATAAACTGACATTGCGCCGTTGCTCCCGATGCATGTCTGTGTCATATTGTAGCTCAGTGCGTCGCAATTCCCTGCTCGTACCTGCAATACTCACAAGAAGACAGGAATGTCAAGTCGCCGCTTGGAAGCGTGGCCACAAAAGCGAATGCAAAGTATTTGCTGCCGTCACTGAGCTCAAGCTCAGTCGTTACTGGAGAAATGAGTATCCTGTCGAGTGGGTGGCTTTTGGTCAGCGAGAGAAAGCCATGATAGAGCGAGAGGAGTGGAGAAATAATGCAGTCGCCGTCATAAAACCTGAATGGCGGACGGCCGAACCATTGGTTCCAGTAAAGCTTGTCGGAACCTTCGAAGTATCTTCGGGTACGTTTCTCGTTGTTGATTTCCGAACTCTTAAGCTGGAAGCATTTCTATAGGTGAACTCGTTTGGGGACAGCTCGCATCCATTCTGGAAGGCATTAAAAATCCGGCTTCTGACCAACCTGGCGAAGATAAGGCTTCCGTAGATAATGGGGGTACTGTTTATACCCAAGGGTGGACGTTCCGCGCTCTGGCTAAAACAGGTGTATGGAAGGTACTACGACTAAACGATTTCCCAAAAGTCTTGTACTCACAATGAACTAGATTGCAAAGGTTGATGGTTTTGGTCTTCCAGACCGCCCTAAAGACACCTGGATTGCCTATCATTCGTCCTACTCATCGCCCGCCGAACTCCTCTCCATGACACGGGACATCGACTGGGGCAACCGGATGGAGAACCCGCGCGTTTGCTGGGTTAACCGGTACGACTGGGGAAGTCAGTGCTCCAACTCGTCCGGTGCCGCTCGTATGTTTGCCGCGTTGGACCCCGGCTCAGCCTGGCCCGTCGCTGTAGAACGTAAAAAACGGCGTTGGCAAGTATGCCAAGGCTGGCCATCCTGATTTCGATCGCTGGGAACGTCTGATGAAGTACGCTCACAACAACACTTTCCTCCTCGATGCCAAATACGCTGCGGGTTTACTGAGGACTATCGCTCGGTATGTTTTGACGGCTACGCCAAGTGTTGAGTTTGTTCATTTCCCCTTAGGCCGTCCCTTTTGGACGAAAACTTGAGTAAAGGCGAGGGTTCGTCATTTCTTGGTGGCGAAACAGTGGTTGGCTGCCACCTTCCAATCACCAAGAGCGAGTACGAATTTGCGCGAATGATATTTAGTGAAGAAGACTCCGTTTCCGTCCCAGGGAAGAAGGAACTCGTCGCTTTTTGGTATGAACGGGACAACATGTACCATTATGAGGAGGCTCTTGGTGAGCCAACATATGAAGATGTAGTCTAACTTGGATAGACTTCCTTTACTGTATGCTCCCATAATTTCTGTCTTATCTCCGCGCGTCTCTTCTCGTCGGGATATGGATGTGATTTGAAACCGAGATCTTCGACTTTCTCGCCTCTCCGATTATAACCCTTCTCTGCATTCAACAGCGCGTAAATCATGTTCTCCGCACAGACAGCGGGAGACATAGCAAAGGCCCATATAATCGGTTTGACTATCGGCCTCGCCAGTTGCATGGCCCAGTGGTTCGAACTGAAGACGTTGGTGTTGACAAAGCCAGGAAGAATATGAGTGAACGCAATGGTGGGCTCCCTCAGGCCAAACTCCTGTTATGACAGTGAGCTTGCGACAAAAAATGCGTATATGTTACCTCCATCGCGAGGTCCGTGTAGGTCATCGATAGTTGTGTTGCTTTGAACCCAGAGTATTTTCCCGGTTTCTTCAAGCCAAAATCGTCTGTTTCCTCAACAGTGATTCCACGGGTGGGGTCCAGGACATTCAGAACACTTGCTGGTTCACCTAACTCCGCCGCTTTGCGCAACAGCGGCAGCAGGTCGTTGGTGATCTTCCATCGACTGTAGTACCGCACCGCCAACGAATTGTCAATCCCCTCCTCCGTGTCTTTCCGCCCCAGCAGGCTGACATGCCCCGACGAGATGGCCAGAAAGTTGATCTTGGGCAATGAGCCAAGCAGCCGGCGCGTGACGGCCTCGACATTCTTCATGAGCGAGGTGTCGCAGGCGACGAACTCGTGTTTCCAGCTCCCATCTTCCTGTTTTGGCCTCGGCAACGACGAGAGTATGCCCTCCGCTGCAGTCCTGTTGCGCCCCAGAATGATGATATGCGCCTCTCCGTCTGTGTAGCGCGCGAAAGCTTCAACGGTGGCCTTGCCGATGCCAGAGGTTCCTCCAAAAAACAGTGCAACGGGAGGCGAAGCTGGAGAGTAGCTGGCGTTCGAGGTTTTAACCGTGGAGAACGTCGGCATGGTTGAACGCAAGTTCTATTGAAAACATTGAGTTCGTCGTCATGGGCGTCCCGCCCTAAAGTTATCTCTGACTCAGCCTGATAGCTCGAAACCGGCAAACGCTGTGACGCCGGCCTACACATCATTAACCAGTCTAAGCAGTACCAGAGTAAACAGCAAGCATATGATAAGTATACTATCTAACGTCTCTTCACTTTTCTACTATCATCCAGAGAGTCCGGGGAGCGTTTGAGCCGGTTTTGCGGCTCTGCGCCATATATGCTGGTATAGACTGAGAAATAGTCGGCCCCCAGAATCTCCGCTTGTGCGACGGAGTCCCCTAGACTAAGCAACAGTTCTTTCGCTCGAAAACTGTTTGCGCCCCACTGGGCGTGAGCGACCATATTGGGAGGCTTTGTTATCTAGAAAGAGTCATTAAAATTTCTCCGCGGGATGGTAGTAGCAGGACATACCTTCAAGGTATACGGCGTACGCAACTTGATTGTCTCCCAAGTTATGCCCCACCTTCGTGCCGAGTCCAGCTCCTCCTCCAGATGTGACCTAACTGGAGCATTACGCGAAAACGCATGGCTGTTGCTGACGTCATGTAAGAGGAATGTCCTCAACTCTTCGCAGTCACTACAAGTACACCCGATTGCTTCGATCTGGCCCACGCTCGGGACTGCAGCAGTGGGCTTGTCGCCGAGGACTTGGTCTGTGAAGCTTTTCACGACGGCAGCCGAGAATTTATTGTACGGCTTCGATGTCAACTTGATGTTGAGCGTCTCCAAGAACCGGGAAAGTTGAAGAAGCAACGGGCCCAAGATGCTCGAGACATGACTTTTGATGTCAGCGCCAGTGGGGAGCTGGGTAAAGCGGACGAGGATGGGTCCACAATGAGATTGGACCCCAACGTCAAAGCACAATCGCAGGAGGTCGATCATTGGTGGTATTTTGCTCGGATATTGGAATAAGGCGGTGGCGATTCCGACCAAGACACCCATGGTCTTGTCATACATCTCGGAGTCCAGAGTTGTGCGCGGAAATTCAATTCCGATTCGCCGAATGAAACGAATCACTATGTCAAGACTCCGACCCTTGAAATTCTCCACGGTGAAACTAGTGCAGAGTCAGAAATGCGTCGCCAATCCAGCAGGAGAGAAAAAACCTTTGAAGCAACTCCAATCCTCCTGCTTTTTTGACGGATTCGATAATTAATACTTGTTGGGCGTCATTTAGAACGCTTGCAGTGATTGAGCCATTGGGCGTATCTGTTGCTCCGTTCAATAAGACACGGACCACATCTTCGAAGAAGGGCCTGAATATTTCTAATTTTTCATCGTCGTTTTGCATCAGGGCTAAGACTGGAGTTACGAGCTCAGTATAATAGAGCCAAGGTGGCGCTTCACGTTTGAATTGGCCGTCGCGAGTGGCATTGCGCATGTCAAGGAATATTCGCGAACAGGCGTTGGCAGCCCCAACAGAAAAGCAGACTTCGATAACTTGAAGAACTTTGGCGACATCCTTTTCCGCTGGGTCTCTCGAATAAGGCGATTTGATATCATGTACAGGGAACGCTGGTAGTCCTTCAACGAGTTGATCAACGCATTGGCCCAGACAGTGTTGAATTTGATTGTTTTTGGACGCAGCGAGACTGAGTTGGGTAATGAATGCGATCCAGAAAGATGTATCGAGCCTTTTTGACCGTAGTTGAGGAAGCAGACTGTACACCTGCTTAGCATCCCAACATCACCAGGCGGAAACTCACGTGTCAGTGAAGAATTTCCTCCCCCGGGATACGGTAATCTCGACTAGACGCGGAATATCGTCACTAAGAACTTCTCCCAGTGTATTGAGCACTAGCTCCTCATGGGTCTGAACCCATTCAGTCAGTTCTGCGTCGGCCTCTTCGGCGCCAAGACGTGCGAGTTGGGCCAGGAATGCATTCCTTCTAGATATTGAGCCATCGTTCTTCACGATTCGACTACAACTGCACCAAAACAATAAGCAAGAGCAGAAAGATGAAAACACACTCACAAGTCCACCAAATACTGCCATCCAAAAGTCTTGTAAGCAGACACGAACGCAGCGGCCCCAATAATGTCGACATTCTTGTCCACCTCGCATGCTTCAAGCGCCTGTAAGAATAGACCCGGTTGGTTCCATCGTTCGGCACAATCCCGCAACACGATCAACGATGTGCGAATATGGATAGACTCCTTCGCACGAATGGCTTCAAGTTCTTCAGGATCATCATAGTTCGTCTCCTCCAACCGTTCTTTTGATAATCGACAGCGGGCAATGAGCTGGTCTACGATTCGCTTTTCATGCGAGGTCGGCTTTTGAGATAGAGAATCGCCAAGTTGATGAAACGCGTAGTCATATACCTCTCCGATGCCCGTGTCACCCTTGACTGGTCCATGTGTCGAAAGAATTATAGCACAATGTTTCCAGGCTGCGCTGGGTGGTTAATGTATCGATCACATTACATTGCGGGAGCGTACTCTTGATATGCAAACCAAACTATCTCACTCGAATTAGTCGGAGTTGGGGAGTTAAGACACAAGGGCGACGCACGTTTCCGTCAGTTCGTTCGATTTTATCCTCGTCCGGTTTGTTGAGCTCTGTCAAGTCCTCGATGAACGAGCTGCAAAGAAAGGCCTCGTCCCAGTCTTTCCCCCATCTGGTTTTGAACTGCGGGAGGCGGACTGGTAGTCCGTGCAAATCAACCACCTCTTTGACAAGAGTGATGATCTCCTCATCGCCGTAATCCTCGTAATCTTCATCGTCAGGTTCTTTCTCATCCCAGTCATCGTTGCGAGCTTCGGTAGGGTAAAACTGCTCAGTCTGGAGATGTGCGAGATAGAGGCTGATTCCAAGCTCTGCGGCAAGCGGGGCCAAGCAGGTGAGCAGGAGATCGTCCACGCCGGAAAGCGACGAGGAATTGAACCTCACACCTCGCTCATATTTGTGGCGAAGGACATGAGCGAGAAAATCGCCCTGGTTGTCCTTGTCCGTCGTCCACGATTGCAAGATCGTTCGAAGCCGTTGGATAGACTGGGGCATATCAGGCCACGATCGTCTTGAAAGATGAGTTGTATTTTTCGGAATGATGTTGTAGACCAGAGTGAGGGAGTAGCCGGAATTGGTGGGACGGATCGAATGCCCAACACCAGATACCACAGCTACAACGGTGGTGGAGCGGCTGCTACCAGCGGCAACGTTGATGGCTTTCGTGTGGTTGGACCAATGGATCTCGTGGTCTCCCCCGTCAAATCGACTGGGCAGCACAATGAAAAGCTGTCCGGTGCATCTAGCAAGTGTGAGTAAAACTCTTGAGCATTAAACCACATACTCTTCAGTCAGGGCATAACTAAATGACACAGTTAGAGCGAGAATAGATATAGGTCAAAGTACATACGCACTTTCTGAGGACCGGACAACTAATGCCTTTAGATCCAATGCAGCTCCAGTCCACGACAAGGCCTGGAGTGCAGATGTAGCAGCCGCATTCAGCCAAGGTTCCCAGTCAGGATTATCTATCCGGAGCTAGTTATACTCAGCCTAGTGTTACATCGCAAAGAATGAGGACACACACGCTGGGCCCGGATTTCTTGCGGAGCCGTCTCGACAAGAAAGCGTGCTTCACGCGCGCTCAGAGGAAGCCCGACAGGTCCAATGCCTTCAATTTGAATGCAGGGATTAGGAGCTTCGCTCATGGAGTACTGCTTGCTTGTGATGAGGACATCGTCGCAATTGGAGGCCTCCCGGATAAGTGCTTCGAGATTGTGCTGTTGTAGGCTGAGTGTAGACTGTGTGGTGCAATGGCAAATACCTTTATGTCATTCCTTCTGCTTTCCCAATCATTCGAGTCCATCTACCCATAAGCTGGCGTTGGTGGTGAAACAACAAGCTTATGTCATTGTCACAAACACCTGACTGTGACCTTCCGTATACCCAGAAAATCCTGCATTCTACTTTCAAAAACATTGATTCTGGGCATATTGATCGTGTATGTTACATTTTTTTACATGCTGCTTTTCAAACTCTCCTTCCTTTGAGCCTTTGAATCCTTTTGGGCTCAAGCAACAACTACCAGCACTAAAATCGCCAGCCAAAAGCCATATCCAGTCGTTATAGACAGCCGATGCCCACCCGAGCCACTTTGAGTCGGGCTCGGAGATGTACTCAACGTCGGAGAAGGGCTGCCGTTCGAATTCGTAGATGGGTTTGAGCTCGAAGGATTGGCTGACGACGCGGGATGGGAAGGGCTGGACGGGAAGCTCAATATCGAGGTTGTGGATTGCGAGGGACTAGCGGTGGTTTGGAAGCCGGATATGGACAGGCTGACTGCACACCGCGAGTCGTATTCTGGCGCTTTCAGTCAGATGAGCTTATAGGAGCTTGTTCACCTACGACTGAGAAGATCTTGCCCGCTGAGCGTGTTAGGTCCCTTGAATGATGCAAGACAGTCGACGCAGGTGAGGATCGCGGCTTGGTCAGCTGGAGCACAGATGCATTGGATGGTCATGCAAGTCTACTCTGATGTCAGAATCCACTGGTAAAGTGTTAGGAAGTATGCGTGCAGCTGACATTGAAAGTTTCGATGATACGTTGGCATGTGTCCACGCATTGGGAGGGTATTTGGCTTGGGTCGATATCGTCCCGAGAGATTGACTGGCGGCCAAAGACTGTTGAGCGTTTCGAACCTCAGTCTGTTTGACGGGTGGAAGGGCTACCTTGCGAGGCTATAGCTGTCGTGCCCAGAACTAACAACCAGAAAGCGTTATGGAGGAGCATGGTGAAGGTTTGGAGCAAGGCGCTTCAATCTTGAGTTCATGTGACGAACCGCAGTAGCCTGGATATAAGGTGACGGTCTTCGTAGACCGTCAGAAGACAACTATGACCTTCTTCGACGTCACTTTGGTATGTGCGTTTTTAATAGAATGTTCAGAACACGGAACAGGACCATTTCTGTGGTTGGCAGGATGGTCAGGAAGAGAAAACGAGTGTCATGTGATCACATAGTTCTTTCCACTTGCACCAGCTCTTGGATTTGACCACGGCTATCCTTATACTGGATACGCCAGGCAGTAATTCAGGCATTAGCTTCCTCGAAAAACCTATATTTGTGAGATAATAAATATACTGGTATACTTTAACGGATTACGAGGAAGAATTGGGTTTTGTGCATGCTCCAAGCCTGCGAAACCCGAATAGCTACTTTTACAGCAGGAAAAGCAAGAAAAACAAAGAGAAAAAAGAATATTGTCAGAGAGAAAATGTAGCTATACATTGTGACTATGTTGAAGCTGGCAAAGCAAGAATAAACGCAGCGACCAGACAAGAAAGCAGTCAATATCTCTAAACGATGCCCTTGACGAGCATGCCTTCAAGGCGGCAGTACTCTGGCACGATGGCGGCGTAGGCCAAGAACGCGTCGGCGTCTGGCTCGGCGACTTTGGCCAATCCAACTTGGGATTCTGCCTCTCCCGTCGGCAGAGCAGAAACAGGAGTCAGAGGAGTTGGCGTCGTGGGCGTTCCCGCAGCTGCCGTTCCGTTGGCCCCAATGATACCCGGACTAAGCATTCCACTTGTCCCAGCCGCCAAATCGGGCGATGTGAAGGCCGTCGAGACGCTGGCCATGCTGCTTCCGCTTGTACTCGGTGTGATCGAGGACAACGCGCCATTTCGTAGCTGGTATTCTGCAAGGGTGATGCCCATCCGCTCAGCCATCTCACGTGCATTTTCTTCGTCTTCCTCCTCCTCCAAAAGTGCATTTGGAGCGCGCACATGGGGCGGACGGGTGAACGGGGTGCTCGTTCCACTCGGAGTTGGCGTATGGGCACTGGCCATCGTTGCACGAAGCGGGGTCCCCCCACTCGAAGTCCAACGCTTGCCCAAAACCCTCCTGACCTCTTCCTCGAATCCAACCGCATTCGCATTGGGGCCTGTTCCAACCCATTCTCGGCCCCAAACCCAACGTGCGACATAAGCTGCACCGAGAGCAGCACGTGACGGGCATCCTGCTGCTGGAGCGTTGCGGTGTGGCGAAGTCTGCGCAGAAGCGATCTGGGTAGTTGGAACGAAGACTGGGGAGTTGAAGACATCGCAGACAAGGTTGGAGACACTTGGAAAGTTGGCCGCTGCGCCACTAGCGAGAATTCGTCCAGGAAGCGGTGTTACATCATATGGGTCGAATGAGAGACCGAGTGCGCCAGCCCCGGACCGTCTTGCTGCGTGAACGGATAACGGAGGCGGGGGGCCACGGGCCAGAACCCCAGTCGAGAGCATTTTTGCGTATTTGACACGGAGAGAAAGAATTTGGGATTCCAAGAGGCATCGTGGATTTGCTCGCAAGTCGCGGAATTCAGTGACCTTGATGCCTGTTTCGAACCGATATATGCCTTTCACATGAGCAAAAGGATGAGCGTCGCCTTGTAGGAACCAGAATGCGAATAGTTTGTCGTCAAGACTGGACAACATGAGTTGATATACGATGCCAAGAGCGACTGAACGTACCCAATTGAACCTCCTGGCGGTACTATGGCCACAAGACGGTCAAAAGCACTCCAACTTTTGGTATACATATCGCGGACAAGAGCTCTAGGGACATCTGCGTTGCGATTAGTGACAACGGCAATATAACGACGTTTTTCGGTAGGGTCTTGAGCTGGATGAGGATATAGATTGTAGAGTCGTGTTGGCAGGTAATGTTGGGCAGGGGCCATCAAGACATCCATGGGGCCGAATTGGAGAACGACGTCGTTTTGTGCCGGAACTGCCGAGAGGTAGGCAGCGAGTCCGTCGCTGGTGAAGGAAGTGACTCCAGTTTCTGCGTCGAAGCCGTATCGCTCAACGAGATAACGACTGATGTTCCCTGCCCTCCGACCGCCGCCTGTTAAGTCCACTTCGCCTAGCCAGCCACGAACTCGCCTGCCTTCTTCCCGAGACCCTCCAACAATGTCTAGAATCTTTTCGTCCCACGCATTTCCGGTATGAGACCACAATCCAGTCGCACAAGCTTCTGCTTCTGCCATTGGCATCCATTTGCCGGAAACAAGCGAGGCTAAAAAAGCTGACGCTAATTGAACACGACCAGTACGGGCCCAAACATCTTGAGGCCAAGTTTCGCGCACCCGAAGGAGCTGGGCGGCTATAGAAGAGGGGTTTGCCGCGGAACCAACGTGAGCAACAAGATGGTCAGCTCCACCGACAAGTGCTTCGATTGTGAGAGCATGGGTCTGAGAGGATGTATCCTGGGCCACGGGGGTGTTTGGAAGAGAGAAGAGGCTGGAGGAGAAATGGGCGACGAGAGGTGTGTGAGGGTCAAGTGATGACAGCGAGGGTACCGTTGTCGATTTCCACCAGACGAGCGCGTGCTGGGCACAACCCCCGATGGTTTTTATTCTCGTAAGGTCTACATTGCGGCGCAATTTTTCGAAGAGGGCGTCTGTAGGTGATGGAAGGGACACGTGCAACGGAAGCAAATTTGTGAGATGAGGAAAAATGGAGAGTAGATATAGAGTACGCACCAAGAGCCTTTATCCACATCTCCACGGGAGTCGTGTATGCCTCGCCAGGGGTGGTAAAGATTCCGCCCTGCGTCCTGAAGGAGGGGTCAGAGCCAATCGATGACACGAAAGGAAGTAGACAGACTGGTATTCGGACAGCTCGGTGTCGAAATCGATGCATTCTACACCGACAAGTTCGAGGTTTTCGTCAACGAGCGAAGCACGAAGCTGGTCGACAGCCAACTCGAGCCCGAGAAAAAGCGAGGACCCAGCCGGCATTCGTTACTTAGGTTGATGATAGCGTAGATGTAGAGTAAGTAGTGGTATCTTTCGGGTATGTCGTGGCACGCGTATCCAGGTCGTAGCCGTTCGCTCGAAAAGAGCTCAATGGCCGGGAAGGAAGGGGGAGATGTTGGTCGAAAGTTGATGGAAGCCTGCCTTCGTCTCGACAGTCAGCACGTGTAACAATTTTTCACTTGTTTCCGCCGCCCGCTACGGCCTCGGCTTACCACGCCAGCTTACACGCACTTCATCCAATCCCTTGCTCCCACTTGCTCTTTTGGAGGTACCCCATCAGCCCTGGCTGTTCGTCACCAGAAAATATTGTTCGTCGTCAACAACATCTCCGAGGACCAAGTAGCCGAAGATTCAGCCAGAAATCAGGTTGTGGTTGAGAGGAAAGATAATAAGTAAGCCACACTGCGCGCCACAAGAGCTTAAACGGCACTCGAGAACGACCACTATGCTCTCGTTCTTTGCTTTGGACCATCAAATCTCGCGCCAAAGAGAGAGCGTGTAACAAGGAACCACCGACCAATATATGCTGCTTCCCCGAGCATTCATCTTAGCCAGTATAATTCAAGCTACTTGCTAGGCATTTATCAGATTACTCGTGCGGTTTCGCTGGGTGCATTGGATGAAATCTGTTTCACCCACTTGTTCAAAAAAGGAATTAAGGAGCGGTGAGTTCACCGACAAGACGGTTCTGTTTCACTCATAGCGGATGTCTTAGTCAATGGCTGGCCACGGAGATTTAGTTACTACACTTCCGCTGTGACGCTACACCTGCATCCTGCCTCTCACTCACACCTTGCCTAAATAAAAAACCTCATTCACAACAATTTGCCAACTTGCCATGTTGTCAAGTCCTATCTGTTCAACCCTTCCAGCACCTCCTGCTATGGCGCGTTCTCTTACCTCTCCTTCTTTGACTGTGGCTGATGGCCTCCTGCTGCAGATGTGTTCAAACTCTGCGTCATCAATAGCAGCGCTAGACATCCCAGGGAAATGGGAGACATCCTATGATGGCAAATCGGTGAGATATCTTACTTCAGATTCTCCAAGCTGCTAATCTTCGTACCATAGAAAACTGAAACGATGCCTGGGACCCACATTTGCGATACTGTCTTCGAATCCATTCGTAGTGAAGAGACATTCTGGGTGCGGTTGTAACTCGTTTGGATCTATATACTGTGGCTGATGAGCTCCCTATAGACGTCGGCGGCAAAGCTATGGCTCTGCTTGTCTCAAACAATTATTCCTGCTTGGTCTCAAGTCAAGGTATGTACCATGTTTCGCTCTCGATCTTATCTTATGGTACTTCAGTGTCCTCAAGTCCAATGTCCTGAAGTCCAAGAATCTATTGCTCCCACCATTGAGCAAGTATGCAGTGATTCGCTAGTTCCTTCAGGACCACTCCTGACGTTCTCCCCAGAACACTACTACAATAAGGCTAAACGCTCATGGTCGTCCCATTCTGGCGACGCGTCCGCCGTCATCTCCTGCCAGTCCTCCACTCCCAACACCACCACTCATGGAGCATTCACCATGCGAGCGTTTTAAGCCTCGTCAATTGCCTCAGGGGCCAGATTTGGACCTCGGTGGGCTAATTATTCCTTTTGTCCGGCGTAGCTCCGCTTTGCGGATAGCGGTTCTTGTGAATTCAGCGAGGGTTGCAGAGCGGAAGGCTAACGAAGTCGCGGAGCGAGCAGAGAGGGAGGCTAACCGAGCAGAGAGGACGCGGCTGATTGGGTTGAAGATGAACCTTCTTGTTCCACGTAAGCTGACGGTGGTGGAGAGACTGAGGCGGAAGATTGCGTCGTTGCGGGGGTACAATTAGACCAGAACTTGACGGCGGGGCAGCACTTTTAACGTAGTTGAACAGTAGTTAGCGGGTGAGGTTGTCGGCGTTTTATAATCATCAACCTAAGAACAAACCCATAAAATGCAGTATCCTTCACGTGAGTTGCTAGTACTTGTACATGTGTCCAAGTACACAAGTACACAAACAAGGTCACATGACCGGCTGTCTCTTTTGATCCCAACCATAATGAGGAAATGGTTCTCCACAATCCGCACACAGGCAAACCATCTTATTATTCTCGACGCTGGAACCTCAGTACATCTTCAGTAGAAGTTGCCTACAAGTGGGGACTTGTCATCTGAAAATGCTGTCCGAGTTAACAGCTCATTCAATAACGACACTTCCTCGTGGACGGGGTTCAACGCCCTTGAGAACTTGTTTATATTGTACAGGCTCGCTTCTGCTACTTCTCAAGCCCAGCTGACAAAATCTGTCAGCGGCGACTCGTATTCTTCTGTTGGCCAGTTTGCGTCTGACACATCGCCTCCTGCACCTGTCGACCGCCAAGCCCCATTCGAGGGCTCCACTTTTGCGGACAAAGATGGGACTAACTGGGTGGGCTACATTCTGACTCAACATGACCCACATTCCAAAATGGTAGTGCATGATTATGCTGTGGGCGGAGCAAGAGTCCCTGCATCTGGCCAGACGGGGTCGGTCGAAAGACAGATCAGCGAGTACTTCCTCACAGGATACGCCATGAAACCAGAGGATAGCGGCGAACTACTTTGGAAGAGTGAAAATTCTTTGTTCGGTAAATTTCTCCGCCCGACCCAGCCTTCATTCTTAACGGTTTTGGGGCAGTAACATGGGTCGGAATCAATGACTGCGCGTAAAATAGGTGTCCCGCGTCCAGAAACATGTACTTACTCACACTTCAGATCCGCCTCAACGCATGACGAGACGGTGAATCTTCTCTTCACGCTACAGCACAAGCTCTACGATGCCGGCGCGCGTCAATTTCTCTTCATCGATGTACCGCCAATAAGCCGCTCACCTGCAGGTTTGGTGAATATGTATCTTGTTCCCAAGTTGTCTTACCGCCTTCAGGCATCCATGTCACGAAGAACAAGCCTGATCCGACCCAGGGACCTTCGACTTCAAATGCCAACTGGAATGCTTCTCTTCGTGCACACATGGCGAAGTTCGCAGCGGCACATCCAGACGCGCGGATTCTCACCTTTTCTGCTTTTCAAATGTTCAACGACATGCTTGATCATCCGAAACGCTATGGTTTACCGCAGAAAGATGTTGCTCACACGGGAGGCAAAGTGTGGCGCGACGCGCTTCATCCGACTAGCCGCGTCCACGAAATTTTCGCAGCAAAATTGGTCGCGTTCTTGAAAGAAGTAGTATGAAGTACAAGTTGTTCCGATAATAAAAGTTGACAACACAAGGAAGTAAACACCTCTCGTCTGAACTATGGGCCAGGGGATGACCGTGGCGGAAGGGTATCTCGAGGGCGGAAAGTTCCAGTAGTTCCTGGAGGCAGCGGAGCAAATTGAACATTCCTGCGAGGCGAAGTGCCGACGATGCTTGGGGGGGAGTCAGCTGAAAAGCGTATACTCCTCGTCTCGAGGGAGGAGTTTGGGAACCTAAAGCCGGGCTCAGGCTGCTGGGCTGCTTTGGCCGCATCCTCCTCTGTCAATTTGGCCAGCATCCGTTGGTAGTGGTTTGGGTCAAGAACACGGAAGAATCCGCTTTCGCCGGGACGCGCAGGAGTTGCTCTTAGGATTTCTCGTGTCGCTAGCTCCATGGCTTTCCGTTCAAGTTCGAACTTGCGCGCCTGTGCCCTCAGTTCTTGGGCAGTCGGGCGGTGTGGAGGGTCGCGTCTCGGGAGCCGACTGAAAGGAAACACCTTGACTTGTGGAGGGGAGTGATTCGGGCGTGATGGGGTCGACTCCAAGTCTCTTCTTGCTCGCTTCAATGGAGGCCCGTTGTCTTCATTCTCAATTTCCCGCGTCCGTTTGCGTGCTGGCTTTGGGGGGACATCATCCACGATTAGACGGTCCGCCCAAGCGACGTCGGGGTAAATGCCCAGTAGCCAGTCGTGCCACCGCGTCTTCTCCGACTTGTACAATAGCGATTTTCTCCCGTTGAAGGTCCGCCGGTGGCCCAGTCGTCGTGCCCATGGCTTGCCGATGTGATTGTGTACCTCTGACGCAAACAGGCAACGGATACCTACCACGGGACGATCAACAAAGTTGGGTGGCAAAGCATCCGTAGGGACGCACCTGGGTTGTAGCATTCGGGGACCTGAGTATCGCCTAACCGGCGGGCGGGATAGTCTGATACTTCGATGCAATGTGTTATAGGTGGATGGGAATCCTTTACGCGGTAGATAGATGACGGCCCGTTGACTGCAGTCCGAAGGGCAAATGGTATATCAGGGTACGAACCCTTGCGCCATTCAGCAATCAGGTCCTCTTCGCATTCATATCGAAGTGTTTGGACCTGCTTGCCGCCCACCTGGACGTTTTCGAGTACGCCTCCTCGACGATGTGGCCCATAAATCCCGAAAAGCACTTTGATGCCTGGAAAAAGTCATTACTGGACACACAGTGAATTGTCAACATACGTTCGTCGTCGCATTCGGCCCGCGGAGGAAACTCGGCTGTGGGCGTCTTGTCTGAGACGGGTTCCCACTGGGGAATCGGCTCTCCATCAAGAATGCGCAGTTCAAAAGGTATATCAGGGTGCTGGCCGCCTAGCCATTCGGAAATGAGAGCATCCATTGTAGAGTACATCAGGGCCACGGTATGCTTGTGAAGACCATGGTAGACCCTTCTACCGCAAAGCTGGGGTAATAAATTATCGAGCCCGAAACTGCCCAAGTTGCCAAAATCGGCAATGGCAAGGAGTTCGTCTATGATCAGTTAAAAAAAGTTGTGTGAGCTTTAGTCCGACCCACCTATCATTTCGTTACGCGTGGTCTTGGCATTGTGAGGCCCAGGAGGCGCCGAGGACTGAATGAGTTTAAGTTCAATAGCGACATCTTTCCCCGGACGGGCAGTCGGGTCGATGGCGGGCTGCATGAATGATGAGGACATTATTATTAGACAGAATCGGGAATGCATCACGCACCCGGAGTGTTATCTGAGTTGTGTGAGTCTGTCTTTTGTACTCCCGCCGAAATTGTGAGAGCAAGTCGGCGAGAAGGGGGCGGAGCGTGTCGAGCACGTCGTCCACGTCGGCGTTTACGATAGGGAAAGAGGCGGAGATGGTATCCATTGCGCTTGAAAGGCCATGTTCACCGCTCTTAAGTAGTATACTTGCAATGCGCTTGGAACAAGAGTTGGTCAAAGCGTCGACAATTGGGGCCTAAGCGCTGCTGCCCTAGACGGACCAGCGAGATCTAATTATAGCTGATTGCTGACGCAGATATGTATCTTCATTTACACGTCGTTCGTCGAATTGCGCAATTGTGCAATTTGTCGCTGTGAATCAGGATCAAGTGTGGGTGCAAGTCACATGAGATGTCACGTATGTGACTTAAATGTGACACGCCATAAGTTGGCCATCATGGCCAACCACCCTTACATGGAGTGACCATTGGCGCACCATAGGCTGGCCTGTGGTGGACCATGTGTCGGGCCGGGAGCCAATCAAACTGGCTACCGGGAATAGCCATGGAATCTACCTCGCTATCGCTCCAATCCTGAAACTGACGATCAACACTAAGTACTCGCAACGCAAGGTGCCTGGGACTGAAAGATCCCAGTCTCCACGACTCTGGCCTTCAACGGGCCTTCGTGGGCCATCCTTTCGAAGAAGCTCCGAAGCATGTCAAGATCTTCTGGCAGCCAGCGTTACACCAATGCTTCGATTGCATTGTGTCTGTGTCTGTGGCGAGCACGCCATAGAGTTGGGTTGAATACATAGTCTGGTCAGTTCCCCAGTAGTTAATGTCCGGGCCGCGCTCATTTGATGCCATTCGCCAGATGCACTTATCCTCCAACCCCATCATTCCATTCCATTGCTAGCGGCGCGAATTCTACAAAGCCGGCTACAACCCCCGCTCGCAATGGAATGAATTGACCCAACGGTGCGCAGCGTGCCGTTTGCGCCTTATCGCAGAAATTTGATGTTTTCCCACCAGCTCTGATGTTCGGCTTCGATGTGCAGCCGCTCCTCGTTAGACGCGTTTGTCGAATTATGAGAGGTTCCTGATCACATGGGTGCGGAGCGACGCCCGGGGAGTGTATAAAAGGACTTATCTCGCGTGGTTTAGACTTCTCGAGGCAGTCTCGCTAGCCGCTTCACGTATCGTTCCTCTGCCCACAATGGCAGCGACGGTCGACTCTGTCCCTGCTCTCGTCCATGACGAGAAGGACGAGAAACACAGCTCGCGCGGCTCATTTGCCGACGAGAAGGGTGTTTACCAACCGGAAAAGGTCAACCTCGACGATGCTGAAGAGGTTGGAGACGTGTTCAACGATGTCCGACTAATCGACCTTGGTGAAGACGGTCACGAACGGCCCATCGGTGCGTCTCTGGTCGTTCCTTTGCAATCACCGCTATTGACACGCGATGCAGAGACTGACGCTGACTATGCAACCCGTCTTGTGTCCCTCGATGATGACCCCACAATACGATGGTTTACTTTCCGCATGTGGTTCCTTGGTCTCGGACTCAGTTGCTTCGCGTGCGTAATCTGTTCCGTATATAACTCCATTCTGACGCACTGATACCAGCGCTGTACTCGGCCAAATATTCGTGAGCCATAGTAAACTAGCTGTTATCAAGACTAACCATGTCGGTCATAGTACTTCCGTCCCCAGACCGTGAGCTCCCTCTCCATCAATCAGCACTCCACCCTATTCACTTCCTTTGTTCTCCGCAGATCTCCGTGAGCCAGCTGTTCATCCAAATCATCAGCTTCATTCTCGGTCGTGCCTTGGAGTACATCATTCCCGGCCCTTCCGAGTTGGCTCTCATCAAGACATCCGACAACGCCTTTTGGCGGTTCATGAACCATGGGCACTTCAGTATGTAGCTCGTCCAGCTATCGCACAGAAAGTAATTTTTTTACCCCAGATATGAAAGAACACGTCGCTATCACTATCATGTCCAGCACTGCTTCCTCTTCCGCTCTCGCAATCTCTATTTTTGCGTCGCAGGAACTCTATTACTATGTCGAGACCAACGTAGCAGTTGGCATCTTCACGTATGTCGTTCTCAGCCTTCCTAAATCTATCTCACAAGCAAGCAGCCTGATTGCCTCCCAGCTTATTGGCTATGGCTTCGCAGGTAAAATTCACGACTGTTCTCTTAATCGTGTCGCTTATCGCTTGCTAGGTCTATTCCGTACTTTCCTGGTTTACCCGACCTTTGCTGTTTATCCACAAGTCATGCCTACAGTACAGCTATTTGAGGCGCTCCACCGAGGAGACGGCATGATGGCCCAGTCGAAGCGGAAGAAGTTCTTCTGGTATATTTTCCTGGCAATCTTCGTCTGGGAGTGGTTCCCCGAATACATTGCGCCGACTCTTACCGGCATATCCATCTTCTGCCTCGCCAACCGCAAGAGCGCCTGGTTCACACGGATCTTTGGTGGCGCCGCTGGTAACGAAGGTCTTGGTGCCTTCTCCCTCTGTTTGGATTGGGCATACGTATGTGTTGACATGCCAAGTTTTAACCCCCGATCCTGATTAATAACGAACAGATCGGGTCTGGTGGTGGCTCTATTGGCTCACTTTTTACACCACTTTCCACTCAATTGTCGCTCTATGGCGGGTGCGCCGTTTGTATGATTGCTTTCTGCGCCTGCTTCGCGCGAAACACGTGGAACACCCAGAACTTCCCCTTCCTGACCCAACTGCTCTTCTACGAAAACGGCACGGAGTACAACCAGCTTCTGATTCTCAATGGTAGTCTCATTTCTAATCTCCCCGTCTGCGCGTTGATGTAATTCCAAGATGACTTCACTCTCAACGAGGACAAGCTTGCTGAGCAGGGCCTTCCGTGGTATGCAGCCTCGCAACTGCTCTACAAGATCTCCCGGACGGTATATATCGGTGGTATGTCCGCTGTTCCTCGACATTCTGTTGTCTTGATGTTCAACTCCAGCCGCTATCACTCATTTCCTGCTCTGGCACTCCAAGACCGTCTACAAGCTCATCCGTGGCGGCAAAGAGAGCATCGACGACCCACACTACAAGAAGATGCAGGTTTACAAAGAGATCAACAACTGGTGGTACTTCGGCGTCTTCCTGATTTGCCTCGGTATTGGCATTGGAACAACCTACGGGGCAAAATCTCAGCTCCCTGCCTGGGCCACCCTTATTGCCCTTCTGTTTGCGTGAGTTCAATTTCTTCGTTACACCTGCTCAGCTAACGATTTCCCCTTATTCAGATGGCTATTGGTCCCCGTCATTGGCACTGTAAGTTCTAGGTTCCATGTTTTTTCCGTTCCTAAAATATGATAGTTATATGCGACCGTCGGTTACGCTCCCTCCATCGAGAACATGATCCAAATGCTTGGCGGTGCGCTCGTGCCCGGGAAACCTGTTGCCAACATGTATTTCACCATGTACGGCTACCAGCCCGTCGTTCAAGCTTACACATTATGTGGTGACCTGAAGATTGTGAGCCATCAACTTGTTTTGTGATCTAAGAACTAATTTCTCAAAGGGCCAATACACCAAATTGCCTCCTCGAGCTACATTCACTGTGCAAACTGTTGGTGCCATAGTCGGTGGCCTGCTCAACTTTATCATCATGAAGGTGGTGATCAGATCCCACTTCGACCTCCTGCGCGATGTCCAGGGGAGCAACATCTGGTCGGGCCAGCAAGTACAGTCATTCAACAGCGCGGCCATCGCCTGGGGTGCTCTCGGCAAACCACTATACGCAACCGGAACTCGCTATGGCTTCGTGCCATACATGCTCCTTGTCGGTTTACTGTTCCCGATTCCCTTCTGGCTGCTGCACAGGTGGTACCCCAAGGTCGGGTTCAACAACGTCTTCACGCCCATCCTGACGGCGGAGCTGGGCTACCTATCTGTCGGCATCAACTCGAGCGTGTTCACCTCGTTCGTTCTTGCCCTCTTTTCGCAATGGTACCTGCGCAAGTACCGCGCCACCTGGTTCCGCAAGTACAAGTGCGTGTCTCATTCCTTGATCCGCCATTCTCTTATCGGTATTCAAGCTTCCTGTTGTCTGCTGCATTGGACGGCGGCACCTCCGTCATGATTTTTGTCTTCACGTTCGCGGTTGGCGGTGCGGGCGGGAAGGTAATCAACTTCCCCAATTGGGCATTGGTGAGCATGGTCATACATGTTGACCGAGGCTGACAATAACTTGGTGCAGAATCCAAAAGGAAACCCAGACTATTGTCTGCGGCTGACAGACTGAGGGTCTACAGGTGTTGTAACAGTAGTGCTTGTAGTAGTTAGTTGGTTTCTTCGCGATTAAATGCTAATAATTCGGGATTGCTTCAAAGGTGATATAGACTGCAGATAATCATGTTATTGTAGTGTGTGTGTGTGCTTGAATCCAGTCATGTATGATCACAGATTCAGAACCTGGTCAGAACCATTTGGAATGGTCGCTGGCAATTGTCTGCCCCAATCAGTTCTAGCCAGAAAAGGTATGCTAATAATTTATCTGTCCTGGCTTCAATTGATTCACTGGAAATCAGTATAAGGCTCCAACTATAGAGTATATTACTGTATATATAAGTATGGTAAAACCATATAGTATATATATATATATATCTACGGCTGCAGCCAACCCTGGATATGGTATACGGTATATATTATACTACTAGTATATACTATATTGTACTAGGAATCAAACTGTGTAGATGTAATTGATACAAGGTGTGTCCCAAGTTGGCCTTCGGATTGCTACCGTGACACTGTTGCCTACACATATAATATATAATATATAACATATAACATATAACATATAACATATAACATATAACATATAACATATAACATATAACATATAACATTTAACAGGCCCATCCCACATCTGGGTAATGGCCACATATACAACTTAAAGTATTTTATACATTGATTCTGATTTTTTTTAAAAAGTATCTTCATCTCAGGCTCACGCGTCTCGTGGCAGCTACAATGTTTTCCGAATCGATAATCAACAGAAAAGGCCCGGGTTACTTAAGGATCTGAGAATTAAAATCACCATTGGCATCAGCTTTTCCATTGCCAACAGCAACAGGAGATTCGCGATATACTAGGCCACTGATGCGCCAAATTAAAGCGGTCCCGACGAAGGGAAGTCTGTGGATGGCTCTGAGTGCCTTCAGGCGGATCCATGACGTCCAGTCCATTTTGCCGCTCTCGACCTCCATAATGCCCTCGACCCTGTCGATGACTTGACGAGCTATGGCGCGGCGGCGGCCACCCCACGCAGTCAGCGCTTCAAGGGATCCGGAGTGGGTGGAAATGGCTTCCGCGAGCTCGCACCCGTCGCAAATCGCCTGTACGGGAGTAAGCTTGCAGGCGATTCAAATATAGAAAGAAGCCAACGAGATGCATTCCTTGAGCGCCTCCTGGACCATGTGTATGTGCTGCATCGCCGATAAGCATTATGTTGCCTCCTCCGGGAGATCGATGAACAAATCGCTCGGCTAACCCCCTCCGACTCTGGAATCGTGTGCTGTCAAGGACAGTCTTGATTTTCAGCTTTGGGTAAGTCTCGGCATGTGATCCAGGTCCGCGCGCATCAATTACGGCTTGAAGGTACGCCTGGTCAGGGCGTGGAGGGGGGATGTCTGGAACACCAAGGTAGAGCCTGAAATATTCGTTGTCCTTCTGCCCAGAACGCAGTGGTGCCGTTAAGACCATGCCCCCGCCGCCAACCATGATCTGCAACGAGTCTTTTGGCACGTTAGGCGGCAACGGTTTCTCGAAAATCACATCTGCGGCGACATAGGAAGGATCCGAAGGATCTGGCATGACATCCTTGCCGGTGAATGGATGGAGAAACTTGATGTTGGCAAGTTTACGCATAGTGGACTTTGATCCGTCCGCAGCGACGATGTATTGTGCCTCGAGTGTTTCGCCAGATTGGAAGAAAAGCCGATAGTGGCCACCGTCTTCACACATCGCAACAACTTTCTTCCCCCAATGGGTGACCTCCTCGGGAAGGACTTCATGCATGCGCTGCTCAAATGTGTGCTGCGGAATAAGGAGGATAAAAGGGAACTTGGTGTATGGCGCAAGATCTGAGAGGCGTTGCTCGAAGACAAGCTGTTCATAAAGGTCCACCGTTCTGATTGTGCTGGATGGGACACCGTCCGAGACTAGTGTGTTTACCAGGCCAGGGTGAGTCGAGTAGAGAGCCTGTCGAAAGTCAAGCGCAGCACAAATTACCGAAAGAGCTCACCTCCAGCGCACTAGCATGCACTCCGACTGACCGTGAGTTGCTGTGGCCAGTTTCTAACGCGTCGACAATGACAAACGGTATATTACGAGCCGAGATACCGAGAGCGCAAGCTAATCCACTTGGCCCTGCCCCAACGATGCAAACTACGGTTGACGAAGGGAGAGTGGAGACCATTGTGCCGGTGAGCTGTTTTGTGAGACCGCAGTGCCACATTTTGAGCTGAGTAGTCCGTTCATATCTTGGCTCCAAGTGCTGCTCGGTACCGACCAGACCAGCAATAATGAAACAGCCCAGCAGATGAGATTAAAACCGGGACCAATGGGGATTCCATTGTTGGTTAATCCTGCCCTGCACTTGGGGCACAGATGGGCAAAAGCATGCGCATAGCAGCTCCCGCATTCATTCGTACGATATGGCAGAAGACCAGAGCCGAGAAGAAGAGCAAAAGCGAAGGCCACATTGAAGTTCATTCTGAGTCAAGGCCGTGCACGTGACCACTACTCCTTTTACCGCCGCCAAATGCAAGCTCTCCTTCTGCAGCTTGACTCTTCTACTCATCTTCCGCCTCAAAACTGCATCCTCATATCTCATCGACACAATGGGAAATAAAGAGATGGGAGCTCTGCACCCATGATGAATGACTTCATCCAGCGTCTGCTCCACAATACTACGCCGATAACTCTTCTCATTCCGTCATGAACGATCCGGGCCTTGAGCAGCCAATCCAGAACTCGTACGACAATGCGGCCGGTAAACTCAAGGATAGGTTACCGAGCCAAGAGCCCAAAGGGAATGGAGTTCGCGCCGCGTTTCGCAGAGAGCTGCAACAGGACGAGCAGGAAGAAGAGGTTGGGTTCTTCCAGCCAAAGTACGTGCCTGTTGGAGCCGCCCTCCCTTCTGAGCTTCTTAATATAGGCGATGGTGGTTTACTTCGACGATGTTTCCATTAATTGCTGGGACTTTTGGACCATTAGCAAATTTCTTCTCCGCTTGTGCATTGTCGCAACCTTGGAGGCAACATAGTACAGATGGAAGCGAGATTCTGGACCCTGAATGGTAGGTCTGTCTCACCCGTCTGCTCTATATAGCATTTCATTGTGGAACAGGCTCAATGGTGTTGTCGGCCTCTCGCTCGGATGCTCAATCATTGCCAACGCATTCTTATTGGCCAACTTCGGCCATTTGTTGCGCTACTCCTACGCGCAGCCTTTTACGATATGTTTCTGGTCTGCTCTGCCCCAAGAATCTAAGAGAGTTCTGATTCACAACTTCTAGGTATCTCGCCTCTATCTTGCTAATCATACCTCTGGGAATGACAGACACGACCCTCTCAGTAGCTGAAGTGCACACAATGACGCAGGCATATTACTACGCCATAATATCCGCCACCATCTACATGATTTTACCGACTCTGCTCGTTTTGAATGCGATAGGAGCCTACATCTTTCATGCCTACCCGGCGTCTTTCAACCCGCTGACCATCCCCCAACGCACTCTTATGCTACAAACCATTGCATGGGTGCTGTATATGGCAGCTGGAGCAGCAGTATTCTCTCGGCTCGAAGGATGGTCCTATCTCGATGGTGTTTACTGGGCCGATTATACGCTCCTCACAATCGGCCTTGGCTCCGACTTCCCTCCGCAAACACACGCATCAAGAGCGCTGCTCATTCCATTTGCCGTTGGAGGCATCATTCTCATCGGTCTCGTCATTGGCTCTATTCGCGGACTCGTACTTGAACGGGGCAGAGTCAAGATTGTCCATCGCACTGTCGCGAAAGAGCGGCGGAAGTGGATCAGCCGCCAAAATGAGCCAGACGCGGGCTGGAAGCGGGAGGAATGGGAGGTCATGCGGCGTATCCAACGGAGAGCAGAAACAGTACACAAATACTCGGCACTGGGAAGCTCCCTGTTGGCTTTTTTCGTTCTCTGGTTCCTCGGCGCCATGGTGTTTTACCTCGCTGAGGGTCCACAACAGTCGTGGACATACTTCGAGTCCCTTTATTTCAGCTATACCTCTCTGTTAACGATTGGTTATGGGGATTTCTACCCCATCTCCAACGCGGGCAAGCCGTTCTTCGTTATCTGGAGTTTGTTGGCCGTGCCAACAGTCACGATTCTCATCTCGAACGTTGGCGACGTATTGGTTGGGTGGATTAGAGGCGGGCTTATGTGGACCGTGCTGCCATCGGGGGAGCGCAAACAACAAGACACCGACGAGGGCACCCAACGAATGGGCACAGATGTCGAGAGACTTGGTAATGCCGTTGAACAGTCGGAAGAACAGAGAGGTCAGGGAGGCGGGTTGGCTGCGCGACTTGCGCGGGAAGTAGGCCGGCTTGCACGTGATGCTGCGAGCAAATCGGATGTAGATTACGCTTGGGAGGATTGGGAAAAGTGGCTTGGGTTGCTTGGGGAAGGAAAGGGCGGGGAAAAGACTGGTGAATGGACTTGGCTCGGCGAGGATGGACCGTTATTGAGCAACGTTAGCGAGACTGAGTGGATTTTGGAAAAGCTCTGTGAGAGGTTGGAAGAAGAAATTAGATCCCATTGATGCTATTGTACTAAACGTTAACTGGCGTCGGAAAGAAACGGCTGCGGGACATCCATAACTCTAGCCAGTCTCTTGGTTTGCCTTGCGTTTGAAGGGAAGCGTTGATGTCCTTCATTGACGCCTTCAACCACTCCCGCAAGCTCTTCTCCCAAACGTCACGACTTGCTGGAATAGGCTCTGCATCTGCCAGCCCTTTTTCTAATGCTGGAACTAGCTGAGCAAAGAGGGCTTTAGCCTTCTTATCCAACGGGTTACTTCCGAGATGTTTTACACATGCGCCAAGTAGCAGAGCGCACGATGCAAAGTCCTCTTGCACAGATGGAAGGCCATGAACTTCGTAAAGCGCCGCGGCAGTGACAACTTCGACAAAGGGGCGTTCACCCGCTATCAGACTGCGAAGCAGTCGCCGACCAGCAGAAAGCGTCAATGGAAGCGCGTAAGTCGGGGAGTCTCCGAAGACGGTGAGCGCATGTTCTGGGATTCCAAATTCAGAGCATCGCCCTGTAGACTGATCAGTTTTTTTTTATTCCTAAAATGAGAAACGCAATGAACGCACGCGTAAAGAGCTCGCTCGTGGGCTCGTCAAACGGCCTAACTCCTTTTGGTCTCCCGTTTGCATCGAACCGCGCCTTGCCCTGGGTACCCAAATTTCCCTCCTTCCACGAAATCATGAGGTTGGAGATCGTCTTCATGTCTTCAGCAGTCATTGCGAGGTGTATTAACTGTGGGAACACCGTGCGGCGAAGCAGGGGCGACGTTTTGGTGGGATTCCGGCCAACTCGCGGCTCCGTGAACTGGACGAGCTGGGTAAACCGTTTCTGGCGTTCATTGGGGTCCAATCGTCGGCCTTTTCTCTCTTGCGTTGATGGAACGGCGGTAGAAGTTGTGGCTGATGTTGAAGCCTTCTTTTCTGGGCCAGAGGAGAACAGGTCTTCAACAGGCTCGTCGAAGAGGTCGATATCTTCTTCAATTGTCGCTCTTGCGGCCTTCTTCTTCAAAACAACTGGTGTTGTGTGGAGCCCTCTCGCGGGGAGCGCGAAGCTCGCAGAACGTGAGAGCGTTCTAAAGGAGACGCGCGCCGCCAGATGAAGGGCCATAGACGGCGCGAAAACTGGGAAAGGAGTGTGACCGTGACAACGCGTCGTGACTGTCACACAATTTTCCAGCTTTCTCCTTGCTTTGACTGCGTTGCAACCAAACCACAGAAAACTCGAGTAGTGTGGCCGTTGATAGCATGGTAATTTCTCCCTATCGCTAATACTATCGTGCCTCACCGATTCCCAGGCCATTCGACAATCGAATTTCAGAAGTGCCTGACCAAGTCCAAATATACCCACTGTCGGGGGAGGCCCGTCGTTCCCGTCCCAACCTGACAGTTTCCCTGGCCTCGTGCATATCCTCTTCAGGCAAAATTTTCTGGAGAACCACATGGGTGCTGAGGACTTCGAAAGGCGATAAAAGCATCGCAGGACTGGAATCCACGTCTATTGCGAAATGCGGCTGCTCCAAAATACTTTCGTAGGGCTTTGGCTGGCCTCCTCGGGTGAGCTTACCTCTGAACATAATACCTAGTACTGACTAGGCTTGAGTGTTCGCCCAACTTCCCGGCAATGGGGACCCTTCTCTCGAGGTGGCGGATTGGCCGCCTGGCCCTGGCTCTTTGCTTGTTCCTCAACAACCCGACGCCGAACTCACCGCTATGATGTCGCAAGTCGACCCAGCGCGCGTTCAAGCCATCATCACAAAGCTTGTGTCCTTTGGAACCCGCAACACCATGTCCAGCCAGACCGATCCAAACCGCGGTATCGGTGCTGCGCGGGACTGGGTAAGATATCGAATGCTGCTGCACACAAACAACTCAACAGAAACAGATTGCGGCTCAGATGAGAACATTCGCTGCGACATCCGAAGGACGCATGACTGTGGATGTAAGTTTATCTTGTGCTAACCTGAATAACTCTCTAAGTATAACGCAGACTCCGTCTTATATTCAAGCTGCCAAGGGCAGCATTCTTTTCCCGACGAATATCAGCAACGTCGTTGCAACATTGAAGGGCTCGATAGACCCCACTCGCATCTATGTCGTCTCGGGCCATTACGACTCTCGCAACTCAAATGTTTCTGATTTCACCAATGATGCTCCAGGAGCGAGTAAGTTTGGCTCATATTCTAATGATGTTTTTAAGTGACCCTTACAGATGACGATGGGTCCGGTGTCGCTGTTGCCATGGAGCTTGCGCGCGTCATGGCAACTCACAAACCAGGAGCTACCATTATGTTCGCTGCCGTCGCTGGAGAAGAGCAGAGCCTGTTTGGGAGTGCATTTATGGCATCTACGCTTGCCAGCGACGGCGCCAATGTCGAAGGCATGCTAAATGTGGGTACTATGTGGTGATTAACCAACAAATTGAACAAATGAGCAGAACGACATCGTAGGCAGCTCGACGGGAGACGACGGCACCAAGGATCCGTTCACTATCCGAATGTTTGCTCAAGGGATACCTCCGACCGAAACACTTGCGCAAATCCAATCTCGTGTTAGCATTGGCGCTGAGAATGACTCGCCCATCCGACAACTGGGCCGGTTCGTCGTCGAAGTTGCATCCAACCCGGTAACACAAATGAATGGTTCGTTCTCTGTCAGCTTTCTTCGACCTGATTGACATGTTTTAGTGCAAATGGAATATCGTCCGGACCGCTATCTAAGGGGCGGCGACCACGAGTCATTCCTCGCTCACGGCTATCCTGCTGTCCGCTTTACTGAGCCACGCGAGAATTTTGCCCACCAGCACCAAAATGTGCGCGTGCAGAACGGGGTTCAGTTTGGAGACCTGGTTGAATTCTGCGACTTTGACTTCAATGCGCGTGTCGCAAGGGTGAACGGCGTTGCTTTATGGTCCCTCGCACAAGCACCAGGAACACCAAGAGGTTTAACGCTCGACACAAGCATGCTCACCAATAATTCGACACTCAAATGGACCCCAGACCCGTTGGCAGCGAGCTACGAGGTCGTTTGGCGAGCGAGCGAAGACACGATGTGGACACATGTGATCCCGGTCGGCAATGTGTCCTCGGCAACGATTCTGTTGTCCAAAGACAATGTGCAGTTTGGTGTTCGGGCGGTTGGCGCAAATGGGTTTAAGAGTCCCGCTGCATTCCAAGCGTTCTAGTGGTATACTTATCTTTGTCGTATGTCCTCTATCAAGCTTCCAATGACCTTTGTACTTTCCAGTAATCGCGCATCCTCCGTGCTTAACATGGATATAACCTCTGTCTCGTTCTTTGGAGGAAAGAAATCGTAGTCCGTGGCACAAATAGTACCGTTCTCTGGCAACTTCCCGGCGTAGTAGTCACGCACAAGCTTTGCAGTGCAAAGAGTAGTAATTGCGAGTGAACAATGCTGAGCAACGCCGGCGTTAGCAAGAGAAGATGAACAAAAGGTTGACGTACTCCAGGGCCATCCTGAATAATGATTCTTGATGACTCTGGCATCAGTGAGTTGATCCGCAGACCACTCTCAATCGGCGTGATGCTGTGGACATTTCAGATAGGTTAGCAAGCCAACAGCGACACCCACGGATCCATCGTGTTGCTCACGATCAGCATCGGAATCTCAATTCCATCGTCAAAACTGGCATTCCACGGACCAGTAAAGCGCTCGGGGCCCCGTCCAGCTGTGGGCCAGTACTGACAGCCGCCATCTTGCTCGCCAACAGAGACACTCGGCCCGAAATGGGGAGAAACCAGATCCATTGTGCGGATGAACTCCGCTGCCAAATCTTCTGCCGTAGGCTCAGGCAGACCGAGCGCGTCTTGAAGCGGCGGCGGCGAGTCCATACACGTGACTCCCAATCGGACAAGATCGTAATGCGTGTTGCTTGCCGCTCTGGAGGAAAGCAGACTTGTCAATTTATTATATAATATGGTCCCGTTTCCGCGCATTGCCTCAGCGTAGGCCAAGACAGATTCTGCCCAAAGGGGTGGGCGTTCCAGGTACATGAGCAACAGAGCTGGAAGATCATTAGTTTCCCTTGAATATACCTCAAGTGCCAAGAAATACCTCGAGCAGATCCAGAGGTTAATATCCCTGGTCGCAGAGCTCCGGATCCAGTAACAGGAAGTGGTGTCACAGCCAAATCATCAAAGAACGACTCGATACGGGCCATTATGTCGGTGTAAGGCTCATTTTGATATTTGACAATGGGACAACGCGCGGGGCCAGCTTTGGAGCATGTCTCGAGATAGAATCTGTATGTCTTCTCGGTTGATGCGAGCCAGTTGATAGGCCATTTGTGCGAGGGCTCCGCTGGATGGAAATAAGAACTAGAACCAAACCACGAACACTTGTCAGTGCTTACTCGACCAGTTAACGGGATCCGCGATCCCGTCGATAACGACATAGCCAACTCGATGAGGGAGCATATTGACGAGATATGCGCCGAGAATGGACCCATATGACGCACCCCAATAATTTCTAGCTCCCATCAATACCTGAAGTCAAACCGAGAAATGTAGAGAGCTTACATCTTTGCTCCCTTGCCGTCGAATATTTGAGTCATGAAATCCATATCGCGGACGACATTTGCCGTGCCCATATACTTCAACTCGTCGCCCATCGTCTCAGCGCAAACCTGCGCCTGGGCTTTTTTGAGTGCGAGAAATTCTCTTGCTTGTGCGATAAGCTCGCCCTCGACACTTGCTTTAGCTACCGGGTCCGAAAGATTGGAGGTAGAAATGGTAAAGCCCTTTTCCAGGACGCTGTTTGCGTTGAACAAGCCGAAGTCAGGCTGCGAGTCGAAGCAAGCTACGCGCGGGCTAAAGAGCATTTTAAAACATGAGCTATGGGCAACGAGCAGACACCCCTACGAAGTCATGTTTATTCCGCGCGGGTCGAAGCCCAGTAAATCCCAATCATGGCCGATGATGTCTGCGAATTGTGGAGCAGCTAGACGCGTACCAGATCCTCCCGGGCCACCTGAATACGAATTAGTTTCGTAGCCAAGGAAAGGTTCTATGCCAATGATACATGCCAGGGTTCAGGAAGACGGTACCCTTCTTCGGGAGCTTAGTTGCCTTCAACACAGATATTGCTATGGAAGCAGTCCCCGCCGACTCGTCAAAGTAATCTTTCGGTACGCTGCGGAATTGTCAATGCTTTGTTGGAGGGGAGTTGCCGGTAGCGACGAAAGGCTTACATGACTGAGCCACATTTCGTCCCAGCATTACACGAGGAAGCAGGAAGCCATTTGACGCTGCCGGCCTTGGGTTGCTGCCAGGTGTTGTGAAATAAAAGGCTGGCACTGGGCCATCCATATCCGAGTCCGAGATTAGAAGTGACCAGGATCAAAAACAACACTGGAAGTAGCAATATAGGCGAAAGTCGTCTTGATCGAGGTGGTTGGAGTGGTAGGTTTACGAAAGCCATTTCTTCCTTCGACATGGTTGGGAGAGAGGAGGAGAGTGGGGAGTGCTGCGCTGCACAGTCCGGACTTACAAATAGTAAACAGCGCCAAAGCCTCCAATCAACTCTGGCCCAGGCAGAAGGAAGAGTCGGAGGATGAGTCAGCTTTCAGCGTGACAGATGGGTACAATCTAATACAGAAGTGAGCTCAGTTTCCACTGAGACTGGTGTATCACTGGTGGTGAGCCACAGATATACGGTCCATCTCTATGTACTTACTTGTGTAAGTGCTGCTACTTACTTGGTCGCCCATAGAATTGATACAATCATTGATCAACATTTCCGTTGATGATGCGGGCCATCCGTTGATGATGCGGCTTGGCACATCCGTCGTTGCTCCGACTTCCATCGAGCTCTGAACTACTCCATTTTACTCTCAGTCAGCGGAGAAAATGGCGAATATAAAAGGTCGTCGCTCTAGCAGGGACTCCATTATCGAATCCGTCGTCACATCCAATGTCCACCACTCGCAACATCGCCTCCTCCACCTTTCCCGCCATTGGCTTTGGCGCTATGGGCATCTCAGCCTTCTATGGTGCTGTAGAGCCTGACGAAGAGCGCTTCAAGGTAGGTGTTCATGCGCTGAATGACCTCGTCTCAACAATATCAACACAGGTCCTTGACGCAGCCCACGCCTCTGGCAGCACCTTTTGGGACACCGCCGACATCTATGCCGACTCGGAAGAGCTTCTTGGCAAATGGTGAGTGGCTTTCCAGCGAAAAGTTTGCTTCTCATGCCTTTTGCTCAGGTTCAAGCGCACAGGAAAGCGCGCTGACATCTTCCTTGCGACCAAGTTTGGCTTCGTCCTCGAAGACTCAACGGTCAATGGCACGCCCGAGTATGTGCGCAAGTCGGCAGAGTCCAGTTTGAAGCGCCTTGAGGTCGACTATATCGACCTCTACTATATGCACGTATGTTTCTCCCCTTAGTTCTCTTGCTTCTGCTTGACCTTCCTACCAAAGCGGGCTGATCCCAAGACTCCTATTGAAGTCAGTGTCCGTGCCATGGCAGAGCTTGTTAAGGAAGGCAAGGTCAAATATCTTGGCCTCTCTGAAGTCTCCGCGTCAACTCTTCGTCGTGCCCACGCTGTCCATCCTATTTCTGCCCTTCAAGTCGAATATTCCCCTTTTACTCTCGATATCGAGGACCCAAAGATCGATTTGCTTCGGACTGCGCGTGAACTGGGTGTCAAGATCGTGGCTTACTCGCCTCTGGGTCGCGGACTGTTAACGGGACAATACGTGCGTTGTTTTTTGTCTGCATTTACAACTGTTAACAACTAAGAACAGCGCTCTCCGGATGACTTTGCGGCAGACGACTTCCGTCGATTTGTCCCGCGCTACAGCGCCGCCAACTTCCCCAACATCCTCCACATCGCCGACTCGCTTAAAGTGATTGGCGCAAAATACGAGACCGCCTCAGGCAAGCCCGCCACAGCTGGTCAAGTAGCTCTCGCGTGGGTGCTTGGGCAAGGTAATGATGTCATTGCAATCCCCGGCACGAAGAAGATCAAGGTTGGTGGCTTGCATGCTCAATTATTTTGTGGACTTATTTCTATGCAGTACCTTCTCGAAAACATTTCAGCAGGCGAAATCACGCTTACCCCCGAAGATATGGCTGCAGTGCGCGAATTGGCCGTCAAGGCTGATGCGGAAGGTCAGAAAGCTGGACCACGGTACCCCGAGGCAATGTGGGCGCAGATGTTTGTAGAGACCCCAGTGGATGTGTAGAAAGTATCCATCCTACTTATTCGCTTTTCTTTCCACCTCCGAAATGCTCTCCCTTGCCCTCGAAGTTTCTGACCTGTTTTACAACCCTGCTACGGACTTCGGCTTTCCTCCTGGCTTGGCTGCGTGTGCCCAAGCCAAGGCGCTCTTAATTTCGCTCAGTGGACTGGAATGGGGTCGCCTCATCAAGAAGCTCCGGGTCGAGGGCCTACTCATCTTCATTTTGCTTTCCGGTCTGTCGGACTGGACCGCGCTCCAGCTTAATCACGTGCGAACATTCAGCGCCAGAGTCGCCATTCCCATGAGCACCGTCTTTGCTATTGCTCAGCATTTGTCTCTTTCCGTCTTGTGCCTTGCAGTTCAAGGCCAACTTGCATGTGAGCCCGAGTCGCCTTACGTTGCGTCCTTCTGTCCTCGATCAAATACTCGCATTGGATGGGCCGAGTCCCATTCTCTTTGGATAAAGATGTTGGCTACTCTCTGCCGAAACTGGATCACTTGACCATCTTGGCCAATTTCGCGTCAGTCCTTTCCTGACCCTTGTCCTCCGGCTGAAATATTTCAGTCTTCCTCATCTCCGTCACGGTGCTGTGTTGTGCGCCACATGTGGGCTTCCGCTCAAAATGCCAATGGGGGGCATTCCTAATGGCCCACGGGTACATATAAGCTCTCAGAAATACAGCTAACTGTCGGTATGCTTGACAAAATCAGCAAGAAACTTGTATTACTAGATCACTGTCCCAATCTCTCGACTACTTGATACTTGTATGGAAATCATCTCGAGCAAGGCGGTAAGATCTGAGCGCCGCTTCCGAGTCCATCATTCGTCTCAGACGCGTTTGGTCGCCCCTCCGTCGACGAGAATGCGCCACAGAGCGTCCCTTGCCTTTCAACTCTGATTAAACTCAGGCTCAAGTTTACTTGCGCATCGATTCCTAACCCCTACGAGAGATCATTTTCATGGTGCGAACGGCCAATTCACGAGTCAGCATGAATCCGTTGACCATTTTGTTGGCAGGAGAGACATCGCAAAAAACCGCTGAGTATCATGGGCAGAGGGAATTTCAGCGAGGTAACGCGGATTTAGTCGACTCGAAAGGGAAGAAGTATCCCACTTAACTCATCCGCTTGTCAATACCAAACGTCTAATTATAATGGAACAGAAAGCCGACTTCTTACTAGTAAACAGAAGAGAAAAAAGATCAAATTAGGTCCTTTACGTTTCTTTACAACATCAAAGCAGCAGCAGCAACACCCGCGATACCCGCGACCATACCTCCCGCGCGGAACGAGACAGCCCCGTTTTTCTTGTCTCCACCGGGAGCCCCGGAACTGCTCGAGGCGGGGGCGCCAGAAGAACTGCCAGCGGCAACAGGGGATGGGAGGGCGGTAGCAAACGCGTTGATCCCCGAAAGGCCTCCCTGAGACTGGCCGACTGTAGTGGCAGCAGCAGCAGAAGCGGTGAATTGTTCGAATGATTTGGAGCCGAGGTTGATTACGCCCACCATGCCTGAGAAGCAAGTCAGGCGCAGTCCACGTCAGAGAAGAGGAAGCGAATCCTCACCAAGTTCACAATGGGGCTTGGGGCCTTTCGGGTTGAGTTGCTTGCAGTAGTACCAAATGGCTAGACGAAAACGTAAGCTCAAGTAGGTGCAAGAACAACGCTGGGGTCTAGTACTCACGGACGTCAGCATTGGTGATGGTCAGAGCGAATGTTGGTGCGACACTGGCATCGGTCACGTTGGCGGGAACCGCGACCCAGCCAGAGTCGAACCCTCCCTGGATGGGCTCGCACGGAGATGCCAGGCTTGATTGGGTGACGGTGTGGTTACCTGGCCTGGACAAGAGGCAGTTAATATGGAGAGTGAGGAAGTGAAGCAATACATACGATCCGCTGAACTGGAAGACGACGACGTCGTTCACCTTTGCGGTGACGTTGTTGGGCGAGAAGGTCGGGGCGCCACCTTGGCCGCCGACTTTGACTGTAATGGTTTCGGCAGCGGCGATGGAGGCGGCTGCGAGGGTAGTAGCGACCAGCGAGAACAACATTTTTGAGATGGGAAAAGTCGAAGAGGGGAATAAGAATCTGGGCAAGGAGGGAGGCGAAATGAAAACGCAAGCAGATTTGCCTCAACCCCCGTCTCGACGCGGGTTTTAAACTGCCTCCACCAGTACGGCATGAAGATGGCATGCCGAAGACGACAGCCAGAGTAACCAACAACTAATGTTGACTGCTGGCAGTGCGGGGATTACACTTCACCATGCTTTGGTCCGATTTGGTGCCACCCGCTTCTGGTTGGTTCCTTAGGCAGTGAAAAAGATGTTTCAGTGTTCGGTCATCATGAACTCGAGACGAAAACGCGCCTAGTATTCGATGGGTTCTCGCGGCGGTATATACCAAGATCGAATCCCGACCATTGTCATTCGGGATTGGTTTCTGTGAAACAGAGATCAGTATCTTGATGTAGAACCCATTGAGTCTAAACTGCCGCTTGGCTGTCAGAGCGGGCGTAAGAAAGCACCTTGTAATGCCACATGATCAGGCATTTGAAGTATTTTTGGACGGGCGACAAGACGAAGATAGATCGATTCTTCAGGTCCCTTGACGACACGGGCGGTATTCGAGCTTGATGCTGAGCGTAACAGCTTCGGCGGGTATCATGGTCCACTGGCGCGAGGCACGGACTATGGCCCGATTTGTTTTTACTTACGCCTCGCCTCATCCGCCTACTAGTATACGCACGAATTTACTTTCGTGCGGAATGCGCTCTGAATCACAGATTTCTCCCCATCTCTTCCGTCATCCCGGGCGTCATGGAAGCAATCCGTCTTCGAGTATGGCAGTGATTTTGCACCTTAACGCCAGAACAGTTGCCCAGAGTGAATGTGGTGCAAATCAATCCTGTTGTTGCGATTATCATATAGGTGCAATCGTTTCGTGGGCGAGTTTCTTTATGACTGCTCTGAGTAGTAAGTACGACCGGCTAGGAGGCTTCAGCGTCACTTCAAGTTGTTTCCCTCGACTGGTGCAGCACACAACACACGGAGAGCTGCGCTCCGAGTCTTGTCCCCCTCTTGCCCAAATTTGGGGTCACTTCGAAGTCTGAGGTCTTTACAGGGACGGTGTTGAGGGTTGCTGGTCGCAGTTACAATTTTCTTGCACTCGGTGCCACGTCATATGCATACGGCCAGCTGTTTGCGCATGCGGACCGTAAAACGATCGATCCACACTGGAGTCTACTGGAGTTGAAGTCATTGTCAATGGTGAGGTGGTGCAAAGGTGGTGACTGTCTGTCAATGTGTGACATTTGTCGAAGAACTAGTACTCGCCGGCGCTCTATCCGCGGTTGACTCCAGTTGGACCGTCAGGCACGGTATTGGTGTTTAAACGTTTATGTCTGAGAATAAAAAACAGGAAAAAATCGTCTAAAAAAGGAAAGAGAAGGGGCCGGGAAGAAAAAGGCGGGATTTTATAGTAGGTTATTCAGACCTATAGAGTCATGCAAAGAGCGCCGTAAATATTTCAAACATGATTGACAGGCGCCCTAATGCTAGCACTTGAAGTTGAACTGGTTGGTCCTCACACTATTCTTAATATTTGTACTAGAGACTCATTATTATCTGATTTATTAGTTGAAATCACTGTTTACTTGAGAATAACATGTCAAATCCTATATTTAAATTATTTACTGCATGTCTATCCTATATGAAAGAAAGAACAGAGAAAACCTACTTTAGGAAAGTTTTGGACAATAAAGCTAGTTTAACAACAGATCAACCTTCTATTCCATGGCTCTTAGAAACACAACCTGAAATTACCTTTCATATACCTGGTATCCTACTTCAAAGTGGGTCACAAAAAGTATTTGCCAAGATTATTAAAACAAATTATCAAATACCTGTCTATAAATCAACTTATATTAACTTAGAAAGAACTTGTGCAACAATAAAAGAACTGGGTCATTATGAACCTACAGATGCAGCTATATGGAAATCAATCAGATCATGGAATTTTCGCATTAAGATCAGAGATCTTCCGAAGAAAACCATGCATAAGACATTTAAAGTAGGCCGGTTTTGGGATAATATTTCTCAAGTACAAATATTTGGTGAATGCTCTCTGTGTAAGGTTCCAGATTCAGAGACTCTAGAACATATTATGTCCTCATAAATATAGATTATTTAGTATTTTAGTTTCAACTGCATGGTATATAATTTGGAATATGCAAAATGAAAGACACTTAAAAACTCCTGGTAAGATTTTTCAAATTACTGAAATACATAATCACTGGCTTACAATGATAAATTCAATTTTTCAGCATGATAGAATTTTGACTAATAAGAATAAATTTGACAAGCTGGCTATTGATTACCAAGTAGTACTAAATACTTGGAGTGGACTTCTGCTGGATGAAGACTCCTTGCTGGATAATTGGATAGATGAAAAGGGGGTTTTAGTGGGTATTCTACCCTTAAAAAAGGTATTGGATAAATCACACCTAAACAGGAGTCCCACACTGGTTTAAAACATGCATAAAGGCATTCACGTTGGGGTTTTTGGGGGAAAAGGTGGCCCAAAGCTGGACTTTTTGGTGGCAGATACAGGCCCAAATACTAGGGGCCGATTCTTATGAAATCATGGGCCCTGATTTCTGCCCACGTGATCTGGAAACTACCTTGTTTAGTAGTTTCTGAGTCATGTGCACGGAAATCTGCGGCCTTGATTTGGTTTCAATTGGCTGGCCCTATTTGGCGCCGCTTTTCCCATAAAAAACTCCTGCTTTGGGCCCCGTTTTTAATCCCCCCCTGAGCTTAATTCCTGGCATTTCTACTGGTATTTTCCAGTGCACCCAGGAGTGAAAGATGGGATCTGGGTATTGGAGCCCATGAACCGTGATGAGATATTAGAGTAGTAGTACTAGATACTATACTTTCACTTCCCATCCACTCTGAATCTGATACTGTGTAACAATTCCCAGAAGGGCAGTATTCATCAATATTTGTTGTATTTCTTGTTTCATAACCAAATTGACTTATAAGTATGGATTTCTGACTATTTAGGTCCATATGAAGACTATTGAGAAGACAGGGAGTGACTACAAAGGCAGATTTGGAAGTATATCTATGGCTGGTATGGCTAAAATGCATATCTCATTGTTGAGTCTGTTTCCTTTTTTTGTCTCAACTGACACAATAGATACTATTTATTCTGCAATATAGATGAGATCTGTAATGGTATGCTTACCACACATACGCAACAGCATACACACTCTGTCTCTTTTCCTTTTCCTTATCCATTCACGCTTACATCACAGACCCTAGTTTATCCTATTTTCCCCTTCCAATGATCTACGCTACATGATTCCTATATATACTGATGTCCGTAGTACTGATCCCTTGGTCAATCTTACACTTACACCACTCACCTTGCTCGTCCGACCAACGAGCTCCTTGTGTGTCAGAACAAGCTGTGGACTCCTGACAGCTCTCCGTCACAAGATCTAACTCCCCTCTGCTCGTTGATGTCATACAGGTTTTTCTTTTAGCAGTGGTATATCTCCAGTACCATAATAATAATTTGAACAGCAATTATGTACCGTATGGCTGTTCTCGCATCAACTTGGTTATATTGCAGTTCGGTTGTTGAAAACAGGTATACAGTTGACATTCTGAATTTTTTATACAGTGTAGAGTTAAGTTATTTGACTAATATACACTGTTGTTTGCATTATCTTTGGTTTATAAGGAAGATGCCTATTAAGCATCCAGAAAAAATGAATAATAAGCAGTTCAGTAATCTCCATGATTTTTTTGTGATTTTTCTCTAAACTTCCCAGAGCACAATGGCTAAGATATCAGTGCAAAGCAAAACTGATTCACAAGCTGTCAACTGACAAATTCTGCCCCCCAAAACAGACAGATCTAGCATATCACTCCATTAACTTCTTACCATCAGTCCCAAAGTGGACTGTCCTTTTGAGGACAGTCCCTTTCAGGACTCACTTTTTTGGACAGCATTGGACACAAATACCAATACCGTGCTGACTGTCACAAACAACACCAAATTAGAGGATGCCAGTTGGCCAGTGAAGGCAAGCAAGAAGCACTATGAAAGGATATCATAAAGATGATGAAATTCAAAGACTGGAGTACAAGACAAAATCTACTCTACTTATATACACTACTGCCATATGTTTACCATGCCCAATACGAGAGGCAATGACATTATACTTTAGCCATACCTTTACGTACTGGCTGCCTCATGTCCAACTCCATGCTATCAATCAACATCAGCATCGACATCTGATGATCCAATCACCATCTTATCATCTATCTTATCTCCTCATTGTCTTATCTTATCAACCAGGATCAAAATAAAAGGTTTAAAAGCTGAAGAAAAAGGTTTCTTAAATCCAGGGCTGTAAGGGCAACCCCGGAGGCCTGAGATCAAGGTCTAGCAGGGGAGGATCCAAAGCGTGAACATTGGTAAGCGAATACAAATGAAGCTGACCTAGCAGGGGAGGATCCAAAGAGAAGAAACTCTAAGGGTCCGCCTGCTAGGGAGCTGACTATATACTGCTTGTCTGTAGCTGCCGCTGTCGGGCACAGAAGGCTTGGGCGGCGTTGCAGGCAAGGTCCCAGGGCGACCGTCGGGAGGGCGTTGCCGGATCGGTGATTGTGCGGGCAAGATGAAGGGCCGGACCGGAGTTGGAACCGGAATCAGACCGGAGTCGGACGTGTCTCCGAGGGAGCCGAAAGGGGGGTTCCCCTGACATCAACCCCCCGAATCAGCTCATCCCAGTCGTCCTGCTGATAGTTGGTGAAGATCCGCAAGTACTGCTCCAACTCCTGGTTGACGCGCTCTGTCTGACCGTCTGTCTGCGGGTGGTACGCGGTGGGACGTGGCAGGCTTGATGCCAATTAGGCGCCAGAGTTCTCAGGTGAAGTCCGCGATGAACTGTGAGCCGCGGTCGGAGACGTACTTCTCCGGAGTCCCATGGGGCCGCCAGACGTTTTGGTAGTAGAGGCAAGCTGCCCCTACTGCACGA